ATTCCGATACCTAGGTTGTTAACTTGAATGTATTTCACGTTAGAAACTCAATACTACATCTTTGAGGGCCGTCTGAGAGCCCCCCTCGCGTCGATAACTGTGGAGCCTGCCGCCGATGTTGGCGGACATCCATACCACTTTGTGTACAAGAAGCCCAACGCTCAGTGTAAGTCTAAGTTGATATTCCATCTGAGCTGCTCTTTTACATATTCAATTCAACTTGCGCTTAATCGCCTTCATACTTCTAATACATTACATCACTTAAAATAACATGTTGTGCTTTCTATTTTTGCTTGCTATGGACAGGTTTATATTACTGTTAAAAATAGGCTCATATATACATACCGCATTTTTTTTATATTTTCCAATGTTGTAGCACAGTTCGCATAAACTGTACCGTTGGATTTTTTGTAGGCCCAGCGTTCCCGAATAACGTAAAGCCTTACTACATACAGAACGTCGGTGAACAAGAACGCGTATTTCATCACGTGGTCTTTCTGAAGGAACCAGGGGTATGTACTGAATTCAAGATTGTTTTTCTTTCACATTTTATCCAAATGGTAGAATAGTTTAAGTCTCATGCTTGATAGAAGATACACATCCTTTAAGACATGGCTCCCGTTCGTCTGGACATTTAAGGAGATACAGAACAATCGTGAACTCTAGCTTGACTTTTAATTTTTGAACACGTTGCAGACAAATGTATCAGTGTTCATTCGGTAACTTTAATTTTTACTACCACACATAATGCGAACAGGAGTGGATATCAAGCATCCGAGTCTTTGTTTAACATTTCAGAAAATAACTTGGAATGGGCCTGTGAACGCTAAGACGAGAAACCTTAATTCGCTTAATTTGTTGGGCATGGCCGGTATGTTTGTTCTGCTTTTTTTCACACTAGAAACGTCTTTAACTGTTTACTGGTGCAAATACTATGATCGTCTATGTGATATTTACTAAACGCATTAACTGCGGTGTATGCGCGTTTTAGGACTGCAAAAGGATGACCATGTGCTTTTCACTGGACGCCTGGGAGACAAAGAACGAAAAATGTTGATCCAGTTCAAGAGTGGAGTATCGTACATATTAACAATCGAACCGGTGACTGGGACCTGGAAGCCCGCGGTGACATTTGTCGACAACACGAAGCCTCAAAAGGCGGCAGAACCTGTAACGGAGAAGCCAGCCGTTGGTTAGTCTAAATTTGATTTTTATATTACATATACAGTAGATTGTATGTCTGACTAAGTGCCGTGGTAATGACAAGGAAGTTTCTGTTGTAAGTTGGTTGGCAACTCACTGTTTACTTGCATAGGAAATTAATTATCATAAAAATCGCGAAAGAAAGTTGATAGCTATATGAAAAGTCACTCATTCAGTGTTCAGGCACACGAGCACAAACGACGCTTAATTAGCTCAGGATAAGTACACAAACAAAATGTTTCATACTTTGTAACGTTTCCATTTGCAATTAGAAAAACATGAATCTGTCGGTTATAGATGTGGAAAAATTATCTAAAGTTCTTTCTGCAATGCCGGTATTGAGTAAACATTCCACTTTTAATGCACGGAAATATTGTTTCTGCTTTGTGCCAAACCCAATTGACATTAGAAAAATTACTTTGTATAGGAATCAGATCCGAGCTACTAGCAGAAATAAAAATAGATTACAGAACACATACAGAGAGCCTGTGTGTTTACTTAAGAGTTAGATTAAGATTGCACGTTTATAGACGTCATACCACCTTTTGTTTATTAAGACAAATTTCCTTTCGTAACAATCCTTTTGTAAGTATTTCGAGAGTTCGAATGCGAGGAGCTGCAGATGTTTCTGGCAATTCTGCTTTACACTACGTGTTTGCGTGTTTTTAATTTGTTCGTCCTACATTTAGGACATTTCTTAAGGATCTTTACGTAAATAATGATGTTTTAAACATTCCTACTTATGCGGCTGCCAGCATGCGTTATGGTTTTAGGATCGCCCAAACATGAAAACTCATAGCCGAGAAAAATTACCATACATAACAAAAACTGAAAATGAATAAGCCTATGATAAATTTAAACAAAAAATCAAGATAGCAGAAAATGTCCAGTTGAAGTAATCTATTATCGTCGGTCTAGATGGTAGCAGGTGCATTACGGGCAAAGGTAGCTTAAGTAGCGCCCCCTTTACATTCCCCTAGTCCCAGCGTTTTCTCCTCCAAAAACACTAAAAATAGGGATTTTGGCGTGGAGAGAATAGGATTTACAGTGAAGTCAAATAAGTTGACTTAAGTGGATAAAAGAAATCGAATTCGTATCCCACGGCTGCTGGGAGAAATTTATTTCGCATGTAAATTTATGATGTGCGCCGGTCTTCGTGTCGCGGGCTATAGTAATATAACTTCAGAACGTTAAGATATAATTCAGATAACTTGAAATAGACCACCTCTTATCAACTTTTTCTATTTGTTTCAAGATTTTCCAGAAACCAACATTTCGCTTATCGTGTTTTTCCGCAACACCGTAAATATTAATGCAGATTAGCAAATTTACAAATATAAAAACGCCACATTCCTAAATATCCTAAAATAAAAAGATGCATACAACAGTTATTAAAGCATATTCAACTGCCCATCGCAAAATCTCCTATACTGCTATTGTGTTGAAGTTAATGAGAACAGAAACTGCAACAAACTGACCCTGCTAGGTTAGAAAGGTATATCTATTCCCCAGGTATTCCCAACAGAAGCAAACTTGAGCTGACTTTTTAAGTTGTGCACGCAACGGCATACGCAAGGTTCGTCTCCCAAGATAAAAACCACAGTACCAGAATTATATCTTATGGGAGCCGTAGCAATATGTGTTATATGGTTTGGTCATAAGAGAGGAAAGAAAAAATAAGTTAAAGTATAGGGCTCATAATAATAGAAAATTTAGAATATAATTATGCAGATGCAAATAGCCGAACATTTGGAGACCAATTAGCGAAATGGGATGTATAACCACTAGAAACAAGAACTGAGCTGATAGTACGCGCTAATTACACACAATCGTATGTCGAATGTATATCTGAATTAAGCGATTATAAAATAAACCATGAAAGAATAGCTTTTAGTGCACGCGTACAAATAATGTAATTCAATGAGGTGAAGGTAAGTGAAGTAAACGAAATGGAAGCCCAAATTAAACGGGAACGTAATCTAAACTAAAAAACTAAGTTAAATAAACTCTAACAAACAAAATAATCCAAGCTCAAAATAACCTTCTAAACTAAAAAGTTAGCACAGACCACCAAAATAATGAGGGTGAGCAATGCTGAAATAAGTATTCGAAGCAGTGGGGGAGTATAGGGAAACAGGATTGCATTGAAATGCATGACCCTTTCTAGGTCTACTTTAATTCATATGGTAGTAATATAATTATATTTATATTTGAGCGGATGACCACTTTAACGGTAACCCAACTCTACTTACCGCATTTTCGATGGTCTAACATCATTTTCCTCGGTTTATTTACCTGTCTTTTCAGGCAAGGCGGACCCTGAGCTTCTGTGGGGACAAGGGGAAAGCGGTGCAGAATGGTCCTATGAATTGGATGTATCCTAATTCCTGCGCTGCAGCCATGAAGATGCTTTCAAATTGCGGTAAAAGGACCCCTCCGCAGCTATTGGACCCGATGTGGTGTGGGCTGGTTTTGGACACTTATTTTCCTTTAGCGGTGCTGGGAATATCGTTATCTCTTCCTTCTGCAATAAACATCTTTGGTAAATTAACATTCCGGAGTTCGAGTTCGCTGGTGAAAGCAGAATGTAGTGTATGGGCAGACAGAGAGATAGAGGGAGATAAGTCAAAATTTTCAGTAAGTAAATTGCCCTATTTACTCAAACCCAGGCGTAAGGTTGTAAAGTACTCTAAGTCTACAGCCTTATGTGGAATTCACATCTATTATGGGCATGAGGTCTGCTAACTTATACTTTAGGTGAAAACATGCTGAGACTGGGAGTGCGAACTGTCGCGGTGCCGATGTACGGCAGGACACACGTTACAATTTTGGGCGCATAGCACAAGAGTGTTGCGTATCCGTAAATTCGGAGAGGAATAGATGAGCAACCTCATGAAGAACGCAGTCAGCGAATTGCTTAACCGTTTTACGGTGTCCCTTCATCATATGTTCAGCTAAATACACAGAAGAAACGCCAGCACCAAACATGAGCATTAGGAGGATACAGTTAAAATAAAGAGGTACTTTCAAGCGTGACTAGAAAAAATAGCCGGAGATCAGTATAATAGGCGGAGGTGAATGCAAGCATCTGTAAATGACTTGATGTTTGTGATATGAACGTAGCCGACGGATATAATATAGAAGTTTAAGAGTTTTAAGGAAAATAGTTTCAGTGTGAACGTTAAATGAAGAACATGATGGTAAACTAAAGCCAAGTTACTGGAAAGACAGCAACCCATTGGGTAGGATGTTTAATAATTCAGAACTGAAAAAGATTCACAATCGGAAAAGGTACTAGGCTGACTTTCGGTTATTCAGTAGAAGACTACTGACTATCAGCCGTGCTGAAACGTGCTGCGAGCCGTCTTTCAGGACTCAGAGATGTGATTGATTTTCGATAGGGTGAGTAACAACGAAAATCAGCATATTTAGCATACATACATTCATTTAGCGATCCCAAGGGCTACAGTAGCCTATGTAGCCCCAATCATTAATCCCTACAACCTGCATGTTTTCCCGCGAAAACGGTGTTTATTGGGTTTTATGGGCGGTCAATTAGAAAACGCAATGGAATACACTTTAATAAATCCTAAATGCATTTTTATTTTATTGCATTTAGAAGTGTCAGTATAATTCAGTATAATAG